TGCAGCAGACAAAGGCGGATTGAGAGAGAGGGCCGCGTCGCATGGAGGCCACTCTCGCGCTCTCACGGTCCACGCCGCTCTCACGCCTCGCGACTCCTTGTCGGGCAGTCGCGAGCTAAGGCCGCTTTCATGTTTAAAATAAAATCCCCTGTGAATTTCAAATGGCACGGCAATACATTTTGTAGCGAATGCCCAAAGCCGCGGAAATTGTACTGACTCACTGGCATTCGTACCTTAGTTTGTACATTGCAATATTGGATAAAAAATCAAGCTTGCTAAGTTATTGTTTAAAAGAGGACCAAGTGCCTTGAGAAGCAAATGTTTGTCATGTCTACAATACATGTTTCAATGGTTAGATGTAATGGGTTCACATGTCCCTTCCAGCCAATCGGAGTCACTACTTCAACCACAACGTGAATATATGTGTAATGGCTCCGACGACAAGTTAAAAGAAGAGCCACTTTTATTAAATATTTCAACAATACAGAAACCTACTATCGACTTCCACGATGAGGGACCCTAGGCTTCGTTCTTATCTTCCTGCTTGTATCCTCATCTGAGCGTCCCCACTCCTATTCTCCCCTTACATATCCCCCAGCCCCCTTTCTCGAACCTTATTCTCATTGTTCTACCTCTTGTCAATCCCTGTCCTCTCCCTTTAACGGATCCTTTCTGTTTTCCCGTTCAACCCCGTATTCTCCAATTCCTTTAAAGTTTGCCTCCCGACCAATCATCGTGGAGGCTTCTTTCTTCCATATCGAAGACCTTTGTTTATTTTTAAATAGCCGTTCGGCTGCATATGGCTTGGGATCACAACAAATTTTATGCATTATAATTCAAGCTAAAATTGTTGCACCCTTCATTTTCTATCAATGCACGAAATCACAGGTCCAGTGACCTGAATCTCTATCACTCAGCTTGGTAAACTTTCAAACAAAACACCAGCCTTCTACATTGATATTCAGAGAGGTCATAAAGGGGTGTGCATAGTAGTTCATGAAAAATGATGCATGTCTACCGATGGACGGACATTGAAAACAGGTGTAGAAGTTGATCTCAGTTATTTTAATTTGAACAATGCTTCACAAATCTGTTTTTTGTTTGAGCAAATTTGATAGCATGGTCACTGGCTGCTTAAATGACACCTTTATCTTCTGCTGAGAACATTATGTCTTTCCCTGCACAGTTGCATGAATTTATAAAGGGCAATGAAGAGAGAGGAAATCTGAAGTATTCCATTTCCCATCAGCCACTTATGCATTTGGTGACCTTTTTAAATGTGTTACATCTTACCGTGAAACAAACTAATTTGCCACGGAAAGCCACAGCCATGAATATACACTTAAATAAGCACAGACATTTTATGCAAGTCAAAATCTGCAACACGTTTTTATGCTGCACAGAATTTGTGTCAATCAGAGCAAAACTGTAAACACACGGGGTGTGTCCATCACATGTGGATATATTTTATGAAAACAATGTTGAACCAATCAATCATGCTCTTATTGAAAATTACTGTATTATAAGCACACTCAATTGCCATGGTGAATTTTAATTGATATGTACAAGTGTTAAAACCTACTCATGTGTGATTGGCTCAATAAAACTCACAACTCTCTACCCTTAAATATGTTAAACTTTTCTGTAAAAATAAAACGGCGTGAGAAGTCGTTATCTAAAGAGTGTAAATTTAATGACTGACACATGACTGAAAATACAACAGGGACTCTTTTTGCCACATGCGACACTGACACAAGATTGTTTAATTTAATACCTAATTAGATTTTCGTAAAATATATACAATAAATACTGGTACTACACAGTATTATATTCTTTTGTATTAACTGCTAGATAAAATACACAGCAAATATGTATATTTTTTTATTCAATCATTATTTATTTAGGCACAAGGTTAAATATTCAGAATGCTTCAACTACGGAATAAACCGTGAAGCAGAATTATCAGAGATTCCAGCTGTCTTCTCTTATATGTAATGCCACCTCTGCAAATGGATGTGGCTTAAATTCCGTTGAATGTTGTGCTACATCAGTTTTAAATTTGCCATCTCACGGTGAAAGTAAAGGTGCAGCATTAGAATTTCTTGAAAATGCTGCCAAAACAGCCTTCAGGAGAGGGAACTCTGCAGAGAGCCTCTAAGAGTGTGTTTGGCCTACTCTTTCAATCTGGGCAGACATCTTGGAAGAGGTGGGAGAACCCACACTTTACCCCACGACATGCTGTAACCCATGTATAATGTTGGGTGGACAGAGGCAAAGGAGGGACTTAAGGAACACGCACCGATTAGTTGAAACGGCTGCTCAAGGAGAACTAAGCAGCGATCATAGCAGCAACCCTACAGATACATAGTTCCCTTATGTTACATACATCTTCTGATAATTTAAAATAAGAAAAATCGAAAAAATTTCACTTTTTTTTGTCAATCACAAGACCCAACATTTTTGTTAGAGCCATTGGGGGAGAGAGACTAACATTGATTAATTTAAATTATTGTTATTTTTCATGACCAAAAATGTCTCATTAGCATGATAATAGGTTTTCCCCTTTTTTTGGCAACAAAACAGGTGATAAGATGTTAAATCACCAAAATGAAATCTTTTACGAGGAATCATTAGCATGTTCAGACAAATTTCAGCATTGAAATTGAAATTAATGACTTTTTTTACACACAAAATGTATCCATTTCCAAATTATCTAAGCAAAAATCTCAATTATATAAAAGTTATATAAAAAATTACTTTTCTAATGTGTAGGCCACTGAATGTTTCACAAATGGTTTTAAAATTGATATTTGAAGAGCTTTGTCTCTTTGACTGCAAACTGTGGCGAGCATACTGCAGATTTGCAAAACACGATCAATTGTGGTTTCCTAAAGAGAGATTTACCCTCCCTTCCCCTCATAGAAATATGGAATTTCCACCCATGGGTCATTGCCACTAACAAAGATGAGCACCAACCCAATTTATCAACTGAGCAATTAAAAACATTTTCTGATACAGTGTATTACATAAACTCTGCGCATTTTGATCTGCTCATTGCCATCACGTTGTCGTGCTATTGACGGTCATGTTCCACTTGCACAGTGAACATTTCAAATGATGCAACACATTGTTTTACAAAAGGTCAAATCTCTGTAAGTTATAAATTAATAAATGCATTCGAATGCCTTTCATTTGTGACCCTCTTATCAGTGAATCCCGGTGGCTGTGGGAAAATCTCACCATTATTTTCCTGCCACTTCATCCTCTTATCAGCAACTTGTGGATTACAGGATGACGTCATCCATCAAGCGGCACTGTTCTGTTCACAACTGAACAAAAACACCCAGGCTGTAGAAGTCACCAGAGAATCTGAGCTGACTATCAGCATCAAGTCACCGCAGCAGAAAACATAGAAGGCATTGCATATTTTGTATAATCAACATTTGTTTTTGAATTATTTCCAACGATTTCAATCGTTATTATGTAGATCATTGACTTCGTATATTACTTACGAGATCTAATTTGGCCACTGATATTTATCCCAACGTATGTGACTACGTTTTACCTGCTATATTACATTCAAGTCGATGGCTTAAACATTATGTCGTAGGAATACTATTACAGTACATAAAGTAGTTCGTAAAATTATGCAGCTGTCAAGTTGCCCATTAATGGCACTCCTCTTGTAGAGGTGCATGCATATTGCATCAACTCAGTGATTTTACTTTTGCAAATAGTGGTGGATAATGTCCACTGCTGGTTTAAATTCTTGCACCTGTGTGTGCCAATTGTATCGGCACTTTGGTTTCAGCCTTTCCCCCGAGTAGTGGATTCCTTTTTGGCACTGTGACAAATCACTTACAACTATACAGTACATATTAAGCACCGGTATTTTTTAGCCACACTGAGACATGAATGCGTGTATATTGTAACAGTTATATCGAGCTCAAGGTCATAGAAGTCAAACATAATTGAAAATGTTTGTTATCTTCCATCAAGTGTAAAATATGAGGAGTTCCACTGCTGATTGAGAGCCTCCTCATGCCATGTCACCACACGGTGGAGTGGAGTGCAGTGGTTATAACTCTGCATTATGAAAATGGTAACCTGAACTACCGTGTTCATTGTGCAGTTGTGGGGATGCCCGAACAGTCCTGGGTACTCACTTCAACAGCCCACTGATATGCATGATGACGTATGGTCAAACTCCCTTGATCGACACAGCATGGCAGAAGCCTTTATGCATTGGCGGCTTGACCAAGGGCTGTACATTTATACTATTTGTATTATTAAATACGTGTTTGTGTGTATAAATTAAGACACTTGAATTGGCGATATTAACTCAGCACTAACAATGGCTCCCATATGCTGTTGTTGATGAATGCTCATGGTTTGAAGGTTATCAAATTACGAATATAGTTCTCAAGAATGACACATGCAAGTGTAGCACAGCATTAGTTGTTCAATGACAGTTGCATCCAAATGTTGATGCGGTCATTGCTCTACGTTGGTCTAAAAAATTATTCGTGAACTTCTATTATAATAAGAGTTTTCTTTTTAGAAGTTTGGTAACATTAGATTCTTAAACATATATCAACGCATTTAACGAATGAATTAAAATTAGAAACCAGTTCGATAACAATAATTGCATTTTGGGGCAATTCATGCTTTTTAGCCCTTTATTTCTTGAGCATAAGGACAATTAAAGTGCTGCATTGTGCCTGCCATGCATCACTACGTTATGGGGGGGGGGGCAGCATTTAATTGCAAGCATATTGCGTGCCCAATCCGACTCTCCCTAATATGGCAAATTCTGATAACGTTTTCATGCAGAAGGCTGCAATCCCGTGCGGATGATTCCCCAAGCAAGACCGACCTCCCCAACATTAACGCAGGTTGCACTCGTGTGAGCGCAAAACGATTCATTAAAATGCGCCTACTTCGAGCGTCGCGGAGGGACTTGTAAAAAGCGACCCGCCGCTGTCCTTGTGGCATTTCAGATGGTCCACGGCCGAGGAAGCTCGAGTCGTGTGAAAGCCGAAGACACCGAAGCCGGCGCTGCCGCTTTCAACGCGCCGCGGAGCCAGCCACCAGCCGAGCGAGGCTGGTTGCAAGTCTGGGAAAAATCAATGGCTGTCTGCTAGTCCTGCTTCGAGAACGTCACGTCGATACCCCATTTAACTGCCTCAAGCGCTGCCAACAATCGCTCATGGTAAGCTGGCGCGAGCCACCGCCACCGTTGCCTGCACGTGCCTCGTCTTGCTCTAATTATTATACGTCGTGGAGAGGCTACTGAGATGATGCATTGTTTCAACCGCGTTGTGGCACCCACACTCTGGTCACCCTTACTTTATCATTACTGGACTGCTCGTTGCAATCTCGAGGTGAGAGGTACTCCGGATAATGTATCATTTTTATAACATGAATTTAGGTTTTGTTTATTAAGTCTGTGTGCATCATTTTGACGTATGCTTAGTTTTAGTGCACGCGACACTGTTACTATTTACTCGGCACATAGCATCCTCAATGTTATTTCAATAACTCTTGTGTTATGCTGCCTCCATGTGATGCAGAGAAGGTTATTATCCATGTTTCCTTTGCAGCACATCAACAAATATGTGATGGTTTTTATAATTGGAAAGTCAACAGTGATTAGTTAATGTGACAAAATTAACTTTTTTGAACATCTATTGCTTTATATTGGCCATTCTCAGCTTACATAAACTTACATCCTTGTCACTGTATCTATCAAACCAGCTCTTACTCCAGCATTATTGGTGCAGGTCCTTGGAATTGTTGTATTTTTACAAAGCAGAGGGAGCTAATTTCAAACTATACGTTTTTCTTTAAAAAAAATTATACGCCCGTCTTATGAAAAATGGTCGTGCATGATAAAAGTTATTTCTGAAATGAAAACATTTCACTATTGGTGCTAACATCCCCGCTTGATGATTATCAGGCTTTGGAAATGTGGGTAATGCTCATTTATTAAAGCACAGTCCTGATGTGCCTAATTATCAAGCATGTGAATATGCAAGCTGAAAACAGACCTCCAGCCTTGGCTTTTTACTTGCTGAACAGTGATAATGAAATGCTCTGCTGCCGAACATGGTCAGAGACAAGCGTGATATTCATTATTTGCCACAATTTGCCAATTTGTCAGTGGAGATACCGACGCATTTTTAGTTGTAATAATGTTTTATATATCTAAATTCGCACCTCACAATCACTGAGGAATCACGAACAAGCTGGAAGGCAGCCAGGCGGTCAGCCAGCACCAACGATTTCACAAGTTCTGCAGTCATCTATAGTGAGGAAAAAAGTATTTGATCCCCTGCTGATTTTGTACGTTTGCCCACTGACAAAGAAATGATCAGTCTATAATTTTAATGGCAGGTGTATTTGAACAGTGAGAGACAGAATAACAACAACAAAATCCAGAAAAACGTATGTCAAAAATGTTATACATTGATTTGCATTATAATAAGGTAAATAAGTATTTGACCCCTCTACAAAACATGACTTAGTACTTGGTGGCAAAACCCTTGTTGGCAATCACAGAGGTCAGACGCTTCTTGTAGATGGCCACCAGGTTTGCACACATCTCAGGAGGGATTTTGTCCCACTCCTCTTTGCAGATCTTCTCCAAGTCATTAAGGTTTCGAGGCTGACGTTTGGCAACTCGAACCTTCAGCTCCCTCCACAGATTTTCTATGGGATTAAGGTCTGGAGACTGGCTAGGCCACTCCAGGACCTTAATGTGCTTCTTCTTGAGCCACTCCTTTGTTGCCTTGGCTGTGTGTTTTGGGTCATTGTCATGCTGGAATACCCATCCACGGCCCATTTTCAATGCCCTGGCTGAGGGAAGGAGGTTCTCACCCAAGATTTGATGGTACATGGCCCCGTCCATCGTCCCTTTGATGCGGTGAAGTTGTCCTGTCCCCTTAGCAGAAAAACACCCCCAAAGCATAATGTTTCCACCTCCATGTTTGACGGTGGGGATGGTGTTCTTGGGGTCATAGGCAGCATTTCTCCTCCTCCAAATACAACGAGTTGAGTTGATGCCAAAGAGCTCCATTTTGGCCTCATCTGACCACAACACTTTCACCCAGTTGTCCTCTGAATCATTCAAATGTTAATTGGCAAACTTCAGACGGGCATGTATATGTGCTTTCTTGAGCAGGGGGACCTTGCGGGCGCTGCAGGATTTCAGTCCTTCACGACGTAGTGTGTTACCAACTGTTTTCTTGGTGACTATGGTCCCAGCTGCCTTGAGATCATTGACAAGATCCTCCCGTGTAGTTCTGGGCTGATTCCTCACCGTTCTCATGATCATTGCAACTCCACGAGGTGAGATCTTGCATGGAGCCCCAGGCCGAGGGAGATTGACAGTTCTTTTGTGTTTCTTCCATTTGCGAATAATCGCACCAACTGTTGTCACCTTCTCACCAAGCTCCTTGGCGATGGTCTTGTAGCCCATTCCAGCCTTGTGTAGGTCTACAATCTTGTCCCTGACATCCTTGGAGAGCTCTTTTGTCTTGGCCATGGTGGAGAGTTTGGAATCTGATTGATTGATTGCTTCTGTGAACATGTGTCTTTTATACAGGTAACAAGCTGAGATTAGGAGCACTCCCTTTAAGAGTGTGCTCCTAATCTCAGCTCGTTACCTGTATAAAAGACACCTGGGAGCCAGAAATCTTTCTGATTGAGAGGGGGTCTAATACTTATTTCCCTCATTAAAATGCAAATCAATTTATAACACTTTTGACATGCGTTTTTCTGGATTTTGTTGTTGTTATTCTGTCTCTCACTGTTCAAATAAACCTACCATTAAAATTATAGACTGATCATTTCTTTGTCAGTGGGAAAACGTACAAAATCAGCAGGGGATCAAATACTTTTTTCCCTCACTGTATATGTTAAGATGTTTTAATTCAATTAATGAGTGTTTATATACATAGGAGAAAACCGGAGCACCTACAGAAGACCTATGTGTGCAAGGGGGCAACACTCATATGGAAGAATTTTGAAATATACTTTTGCAAATTTGTACTTATATACTTAATTTATCTGTAATTGTTTATTTGTGGTGACTTACTTCCCTATCCTATACTTTGCACTCCTATAATGTTTTTGTATTACTTGTTGTTGTAACGTTCTGACCCTCCCCTACTGGACATCTGTGAAAACGAGCTTCATAGCTCATCAGATTCCTCCAGTTTACGTGAAAATTCTTATTCTAATTCTGAGACGGGTCAGATGACAATGGTCTGCATTTTGCTGTACCATCTACTCCTGGCGAATAAGGTTACTCCGATCTGAACTCGATAATTTAGACAAGACTCTCTTACAAACACATTTAATGTTAACACAAAAAATGTCACCTTCCGATTGGAACCACGTTGATAACATGACTTCTGCTTCTGCTGACTCAATGTCAGCCAAATGCAAAGCTAACCTGATTTCTAAATTCAACCTCCTATCTAAGAAGAAACCAGAGCCACACATCACAAAGCTGGATGTTAACAAGACCGTGATTAATCAGAGTAACATCCCAATTTCTGACAATCTAAAAACGGTACTGGCCAAAGGACTACATTTCGCCGTCACCCCTAAATATATACCAGTAGAGGATGTGATTTCTCAGATTGATGTAGCCCTCAGAGGCATGGGACACATCCATGCGGATGTAGCAAGAGCTGAAATAGCTACTATTCTTAAGAATGCTAAGAAACCCACTAGTAACATCAGCAAAAACGAACGCTCTGAACTCGCGGACCTAAAAAAGAGAGATTATATAGTCATCCTCTCGGCAGACAAGGGCAATGCCACGGTCATCATGGATACAGATTCATACAACAACAAAATCCTGGACCTTCTTAATGATGGGAGTTACTCCAAAATTAAAAACGATCTCACTAAAAGCCTAACGACAAAAACCAACAGTATCATCACGAATTCGACTTCCCTAATCGAACCAAGCAAACGTCCCTCTCTAAAACCATCGGCGGCTCGACCTCCCAGACTCTATGGTCTTCCCAAGATCCATAAAGAAGGCACCCCGCTACGACCCATCGTGTCGACGATAAACTCTACTACCTACAAACTAGCCCGTGTTCTATCAGATACTCTGCTTCCCTTCACAGGCAAGACCTGTGAAGGGAAGCAGAGTACTCAACTCAACCCAATTAGTCTCTATGGTTAAGGACATGGTACTATCTCCTGATGATATCCTCGTCAGTTTTGATGTAGTATCTTTGTTTACCAAAGTCCCAGTACCGGACACCCTAACAATAATTGAGGACTTAGTCCAACATGGATTGAATTCTGATGTACCTGCACTGGTTAGACATTGCCTCACCAACACCTATTTTACCTGGAATGGCACCTTCTATAAACAGAATGAGGGTACCCCTATGGGCTCCCCCTTGTCACCAGTTATAGCCAACATGTTCATTGAAAAGTTTGAATCAGACGCCATCCAGACATCCACCCTGCGTCCTTCCCTGTGGAAGAGATATGTGGATGACACTTTCGTCATCTGGCGACATGGCCTCCCAGCATTGAACCACTTCTTGGACCACATCAATTCTAGACACCCATCCATCAGATTCACCATGGAAGTGGAGAAAGATGGTAAACTACCATTCTTGGATATTCTGTTTGAGAGGAGACCTGACGGATCCTTGGGACATTCTGTCTCCAGGAAAGCCACCCACACAGATTCCTACTTGAAACCGGATTCCCACCACCACCCATCTCAAAAGAATTTTCTCATCAAAACGCTATACCACAGAGCCCATGGCATTTCTGACCAACACCACCTGGCCGGTGAATTAAGACATGTACATCGGGCCCTCAGGATGAACGGATACTCTGACCGCACCATCCACCAAGCTGTTTCTCCCACCATACAGAAACAGCCACATGAAACTCCAACCAAAACTATCACGTTACCATACATAACAGGCGTGACCAAAAAGATCTCCAAAATTCTAAACAAACATAAGATCCAAGTCCGATTCAGTACAGTGCATAAAATCCGTGATCTGATTCCATCTGTGAAGGATGTCGTTCCTGACTTACAGTATCCTGGAGTCTACAAATTGAGTTGCAGTTGTGGTGATTGCTACATTGAAGAAACGAAACGTCATGTTTCTGATCGTGTCCGCGAGCACAAGTCAGATCTGAAACACGGCAGAACTGATTCTT